AAAAGATGAGGGCAGATGCTCATTGTGAAGTATAGAAATTAGGAATCCCAAAGGCAAAAGGTGGAAGTGTCCATTCCAACGCTGATCAGGTAGAAACGTTCAAATGGGTATGAGGTCTTACAGAAAAAGAGTTAATGAGCCCCAGAAAAGGCAGATGGCCTAAAATCTTTACCTGAGATTTGCTCCAGGGCAGCTTCCAGGCCACCAGCCCATGATAATTCGTCCAGGTGAGAAGTTCCCTGAGAAGCTATGTGGACATCAGAAATGCTTGGCACACCTGTCCTGGTGGCTCAGGTGAACCAGGTTAAAACAAAGCCGATACCACTGAACACTTGGATTTATCACTGAACCAGGGCCAGAGGGCTTTTGAAAGACACAATGCCGGGCTTCAGTCAGAATCTCGGGCTCAGATCCAGACTTTTGCATTCTTTACTCCCCAGATGGCTCTGATATGCAGCCGGTGGGGACAACTGTTCTAGCTGGATAAGTTGGCATTCTGGCTTACGTATTTTAATAATTTGTGAGCTAGCTATCCATGTTATAGTAACTTGTAAGTTAGCTCTCCATATGCTAGTAACTTGTGAATTAGCTTCCCATATAATAGTAATTTGTGAGTTAACTTTCTTGTGAGTTGTCCCCTCTAAATCTGATCTCTAGTATATTGATGTTACAGTAACACTGAGCCTCAGACCTGCATCAGGTGACTTCCCCAAGGCCACCGCATTACCCAAGTTCTGTAGAGCTACACCGTCAGCTATAGCATATGGCTAAGTTCTGATTTAAATTGACTACATTAAAATGTAAAATTTAGTTATTTGATCACACTAGCCACATTTCATGTACTGCTGGCTACCTGTAGTAGGAGCCCAGAAGACCCTCTATGTCAGTTGTTTTTAGGACTCAATAGCAACTTAGGTAGCTAGTGACTGTCATATTGGACAGCACAGATGTGGAATACTTCAATTAGAGAAAATTCTATTAGACAGCCCTGGCCAGGTAACTAAATGGCCAAATCTCTCTTGCAGGCATCCAATTCACCTGGTCTTTTTATCTAAACATACATTTCACGTGGTTTCTCTCAGTGTAAAATGCCTTTGCCCACCGTTTGGTATGTTACACTACCCTTTACTTGATATGCGGATAAGGGGATGGAGGTGCTTTAGGGGCAGGGGAGCACATCACTGAGAGAGCAGGAGAGCAAGTGTCGGGATCTCAACTCCAGATTAGGGGGAGCTGGCTCAATGAGGTCACAGCTTTCCTCAGAATTGCCTATGCTTTTATCTCTGTTAGCAAATATTTTATCTTCCTTATTAGCAAATACTTACCTGCCTTGAGGCAAATAAACACACCCCAACAAGACTATTCTTCCCTTTTACAATTTATTTCTTTTTACCATATGCTTGCAAACTACTGACTTATTTATTTATTTATTTATTTTGCAGTTAGGGAAAGGAAATAAGACAAGAACTACTGAGTAGTTAAAATGTTAGCTTGCAGAACCCAAGCGCTTGCTTTGTTTTTAGTGAAAACAGAAGCAGGGTTCCCACTCACATAGTGAAGATAAGGCGATGCCTCGTTCTCAATAGAGAGCAGGGGAAGCTGGGGGCCTTACAGGGACGAAATGACACGTGTCCGAAGCTCCTGATATATTGTGTGGCTCATAGTAGACATTCAATAAGTGCTATAATTGTGCTGCTTATTATTAGCTAAGCCAACCAAAGAATAATTGCTCAGATGTGCTTCTGCCAGCCCCAGCCAACCTGGGCAGAAGTCCCGGGCAGCACCAGGTGAGGCCCTGGGGGAGGAAAGGGCGAGGCTCCCACAGGGAACTCCGAGAACCTCAGCCTGGCTGAGACGGTGCTTAGTGGGGATGCTGAGAAGCGATGCAGGGAGGGTAACAGCCAGCCTCTGGGGGGCGGGGGGGGAGCTTTGGGTGCCAGACCCCAAGTTTTGCTCTGTCAGTAAGCATTCTGTTGAGAACGATCCGGAGTGCAGGTCCCTGGGCTTCACCCCAACCTGTTACTTAATAGCTGGCAGTTGGGAATCTGTATTTTATCATCTTACCCAGATGCCGTCTGAACACTGAACTTTAAGAACTACTGCTCCAGATATAAATCTTTATTTACAGTCATTTTCGTGAAATGTGGGAGTAAAGTGAAATCGGGGGCTTTCCGGCCAGTGTCTAGAGTAGATGAAAAGATGAGGGGAGACTGAGGCAGAAGGGAGTTGACTACGGTAGGGACTTCACGAGGGTGGGGATTAAGGAATGAAAGAGATCAGTGACTCCAAACATTATAAAAAAGTAGAATTTAATGACTAAGTGGGTAGGAGATTCAAAGTAGAAGCAGCAATCGTTCTAAACTGCCATGAGTTTCAGTTCAGGTGGATAGGAGGCTGGGGATTCACAGAGGGTGAGCTGAGAATGGTCAGTTTTGTGGAAAGACCCGTTCAGTTTGGAGCCTGCTAGAAGATGGTGATACTTTCAAAAGGAAACTTACAGAAAAATCATTAATGGAAAGCGGGGCTCCAAGCTTGAGTGACAAGTCTTAGCCAGAACAACAGATGGAATTTTTATGACACGTCCTCAGATAAGGCTTCTCTGTTTCCTTTCCTCTTTAAGTTGTCACAATATGTTATTTCCTTCACAAAGGATTACATGAGCCACATGCTGATCACTTAAGAAACCTGGACAGTACTATGCTAAGTGAAATAAGCCAGTCAGAGAAAGACAAATACCACATGATCTCACTTGTATGTAGAATCTAATGAACATAATAAACTGATGAACAAAATAGATCCAGAGACATAGGACCATGGAACAGACTGAGGGGTCTCAGAAGGAAGGCGGGGGTGGGTGGGGAGAGATTAACCTAAGAACTTATATGCATCTATGCATAACCCATGGACCCAGACAGTAGTGTGGAGAAGGCCTGGGGGAGGGGGCGGATGCTCAGTGGAGGGGAAAAAGGGGACATCTGTCATACTTTCAAAAATAAAAATAAATTTAAAAATAGAAAGGAAAAGAAACCTTAAATGAGTGTTTTCAGTTTAGGCTTTATCCTACCAGAGGGAAGGAAAAAGGAAAGTTGTATTTACAGTTTCTTTCAAAGATCAAAATGTACAGCATAGTTGATAAAATGAGCATGTTTCATTTTCCTCTTTCTAGGCAGGATATAAAGTCCTTAAGGGCTGGGCAAGGTGGTGGAAACTCGTTTGTTTACCCTATTGAGGTTTTTGGTAAATACTTAGTTGTTGAACAGACTCTTAAAATGATCCTTAGGGATACCTGAGGGCCTCCCCCCTCCCCCCGCTCCCCATGGAGTTTAGCCTGTTTCTGGTAAATCCCTTGGGTTCAATTCCCAACTATGCTGCAGTCCTTTAAAAGGCTAATTAAGATCCCGGCTAATCTGGGCATTGCCTGGAAATTAAAAGTTAGAGGATGCCCCAAGTCTCTGACTCACTCGGCCCCTAGAGACTTACTGGTATTAGCTACNTTGCCTGGAAATTAAAAGTTAGAGGATGCCCCAAGTCTCTGACTCACTCGGCCCCTGGGAGACTTACTGGTATTAGCTACGGTCTTAACACCGACTGTTGACCCCAAACTCTACTCTCTGAGCTGGAATGGAGTTACCTAAGGGTATATGAGGAGGCCTGTCACCGCTCTTCAAAGACATGCATACTTCTACCAAAGTAAAAAAAAAAGCTTTTAATTGCAAGTGCTTTAATTTTTGTGTTGATCCTACTTTTAGCCAAGAAGAAAAACTCTATTATAGTAATTTAGGGTGTACAATAATTAAAGTATTTTGTTATCATTGTATAAACAAAAAGATGGGCTTGTTCCCCGAGGAAATCAGTTCTTTGGTGTATTTCTGAACTCGAGGCTGTGCTTGTATCCTGCAAGGGTTAGAATTTGTATAATTTTTATTGTTTTCTGACATTCAGCAGCCTGTATTTCACACAACGCATTGTGAGGAATACCGAACATGGAACATTACACAAGGAATTTCGTTGTATATTAAATATTTGTTAAATCTAAAGGAATACCTTTTTTGCATGTTCTAAACTTAAACTTATTTATATCTACGTTGTGATAAAAATCACGTTGTTTAGGATAAATTTACACTTTATTCTTGTCCTTAACATTCTATGATATTTGTATCAGTAAATTAAGATGCTTTATAGATATTTGTGTGTGTGTGTGTGTGATCAGAGTGTACAGAAATTCAAAGCAGATTTAAGTGTACTTTCTACTAAGTGGTTTACTTGAGCTTTTGACTAGCATCATATATGCAGCAGTAAATAAATACATTCATTTGTTCATTTGACAACTACTTATTGAANTAAGTGTACTTTCTACTAAGTGGTTTACTTGAGCTTTTGACTAGCATCATATATGCAACAGTAAATAAATACATTCATTTGTTCATTTGACAACTACTTATTGAACATCTACTATGCCCAGGCACTGTTCTAAGTGCCAAGGATAGTGTAGAAAATGAAGCATGATATGGTTGTCAAGAACTTACTCTTTAGCCTATAATCTGTCAATAATGTTAATAGTACCTTACCCTCAAATAGTTATTTAATCCAAGTCTTTGTAATAATAAATGAATTAAACCTATAGATTGCTTCTTCAAGAAGCAGAGGTCACAGAAGAAATTCCGTTGCAGAACTAAACTTAGAACTCACATTTCAATTAATTTCTGCTAATTTTCAATAATATGGATACCTAAGCTTCTAAATTTGGGATTTTACTTTCTTGGAAGTTCCCATCACCAACAAACTCAGTGTTTACTTAATGCCATTGATTGATTTGACCCCTAGGAAAAGGCCAACGTAGTATGATTGCTGAGAAACGTTTGAGCCTGGTCATTTTAATTGCACATATTTTATAATCCATGTCTTTAGAAATGCTACATGGTTTCCTTTTTTTTTGTTTTGTTAACTCTGCATTCTTTAATGAGAGGTCTTTATCATTTATCTGTTCATTTTTTTTGCAGGTTTTAGGGAAAAAGCCGGAGCTTAGTCATGGATATGACGATGACGACACCATAGCAGACATAACCAACCGGAAAATGGCTAAGCTCTACATGGTGAGTTCCCTTAGCTCTGCTGTTCTCACTGGGCTGGGTGCAGCGGGGAGGCCTGTGCTGGGAGGCATCTTTGCTACAGTTGATAGTCTCTTCATTGCCCTCAAAGAGAAATGTGTAGGTAAAACCTATTGTTTGCTCTAGCATGTTCATTAAAATTTCTCTTGTCATTGCTTTTTGTTATTTTATTGAAAACAACAAATAAGTGAACTTATTGCTGTAAAAATAAAATTATACATTGTTGCTGTACTAGTTTGCAGCAGGGTGTTTTGATATAGTACGTGTAATAAGATGTTTCCTTCATGGAGTGAAAATATTTTGTAAGCTTTTTCTTATAAACTCTTGATAAGCTATAAAGTTTTCACTTTATTTTAAATGTCCTGTTGAGCCATAGTGAAGGCTTTCTTTGTTACAGGAGGGCAAAGCTATCAAATCAAACAGCTGGAAGGAAACAGGGTGAAAACGGGCCTGTCCCGGGAACTCACAGACCCAGTTTCATGTCACTTCTGTGGGGAATGACTAGCTGGGTGACCTTGGGGAAGACGTGACCATTCTGGGTCTTTGTTTNGGAGGAAGGGAGGGAGGGGGAGAGAGATATTACATTAGAAGATAACTCAGTTCCTTCCAACTATAATTTTATGATTTTATTGCTGGTGAGGGTAACAAAACCCACAAGATATACCAGTTGAGGAAACTGCTCAAACGGGATCATTCAAGTTCCAAACTCCCTAAACATATGATTTGGAGCAGACTCTCATCTCCTTGCAGAACTGAATAGTGTTCTCATCTATTATAGGAAGGAGTTATATTTGTTGCTCTTTAAGTGACCTTCTAGCTCAGAACCACTGACTTCAAATGAAGGTCAGCTTGCTAACTTGTGCAGCATAACTTCCTTTTTGTAAAGGGGAGGTGGGTTGCTTTCCTTCTAGATGGCAAAGGAAAATGTAATTACCTCTTCTGTTAAATACACTGATCATTTTAATATAAGTCATATAGAAATATCTAAAGATTTTGTGGTTGGTTATTTTTTTCATTACTGTTTCTAAAATTCATTTTCAGCAGCTGAAAAAATATCTTAGGTGTCTCATCATCAAATAAAACTATTCTCCCTCTTGGACAGCATTATGGACTGAAGAAATATTTTGCAATATGAACACGTTAATCCTGAACCATCTCTCCCTCTAGTGGACGTGTCATGTATCGCACACATCTAAAGTACAAAGTCCACTTGAAAATACTTTAATTTGGGATTGCTGAACAAAGCAGGGAAGCAGAGTCACCTAATGGCAGTTTTTAAACCTACAGAATTTAAGCGCCACCATGGTGCTGCAAAATTCTGCCACTGAGCTAGGGAGGGCCCTGGAATCTGCATGTTTATCAAGTACCCAGACGATTACATTGTAGCCTACAAGCTGCCCTTTAAAAACCAGTGACTTCCAACCTGAGCATTAATATCACTTCCAATTAAGTCCACCCCCAACTCTAAAAAAAAAAANCTCTCTCTCTCTTCCCCCCCCCCCCCCCCCCCCCCCCCCCTAAAAAAAAAAAAAAAAAAAAAGTTTTGTTTCCAAACTTCAAGTATCAAATAAATAAAAATCAATTTGTGGCAGAGGAAATTTATTTTGGTAATTTATACAAAGTATACTTAAATTACAGGACCTATATTGGAAAAAACCCCCACTATAAACTGTAATGTAGCAATGCCTTCCTTAGCACCATACCTGGCGTGTGGTAGACAGTAAGCAAATGTTGACTGATTGACTATTAAAGCTTCACCTTTTTGTGTGTGCACAATGACTATAAGATTATTTTCTATCTGAGAAGGTTGCTGTAAAAATTAAGAAATAGCCATGTAGCGTTCACAGCATGGTGCCTAGTAGATGAGAATCACAACGAAACAGCTATTATTATCATCACTATTATTTTCTGATGTTTTAGACACAGTATCAAATCTTAACTTATTATTATTATTTTTTTTTTACAGAAGAAGGGAGAGAGAGAGAGAGAGAGAAACATCAATGATGACAGAGTCATTGATCGGCTGCCTCCTGCACGCCCCCTGCTGGGGATCGAGCCCGCAACCCCGGCATGTGCCCTGACCGGGAATCAAACGGTGACCTCCTGGTTCATGGGTTGACGCTCAACCACTGAGCCACAGTGGCTGAGCAAAACTTAATTTTTTGTTCTTAGTTCTTATACTCTAAAGAACTTTTGAAACTCCTTTTAAGGCGTAATTGACCTCATGGATTTTGTTTGTTTTGTTTGAAACAACTTTAAGATTTAATTCACATACCATAAAGGTCATCCATTGAAAGTGATTTTGTTACATTTACAGAGTTGTGCAATTATCGCCATAATCTATTTTTAGAACTTTAGAACATTTTTATCACCCCCAAATGAGTTCATAGTTTTTATATTAGGTTTCAGATGCCACTGGATCCATGAGGGTGACATTGGTGGCAGAAGAAAACCCCTTCTCCAGGGCCATGCTGCTCTCTGAAGAGTGCTTTATTTTGGACCACGGTGCTGCAAAGCAAATTTTCGTATGGAAAGGTAAAAGACGGATGCCATTGCCTTTGTTGCTGCACTTCAGATTCATAGATATTTCTTCAGCAGGATAAAGAAAAAAACATTTTTTTTTTTAATTAAAAAACAACCCTACCTTTCTAAGTCTTGATCTGTAAATAGCTCGTATAAATTGCAGACATCAAGCCCACATCTCTTTTCTACTAGCACCACATGTCAGGGATGATGGGATTAAAAAAGCATTTGGACAATATAAAAAGAACCTTTTCTCATGTGTCGTGTTCATCACTACATTATTAAATATATTTAATGTACTGGAAATTTTTGCCATTTTCTCGGTGTCACATTTAAATTAAATAATTAAGCTTACCTTTGTACACAAGTGTTACTCGTTCCTTCGCTAAATATAGTATCTTCCTCCGCTAAAGCCCTGCCTCTCTTTAATTTATCTTGTCATTTAGGTAAAGACGCGAATCCCCGGGAGAGAAAGGCTGCGATGAAGACGGCTGAGCAGTTCCTAGATCAAATGAACTATTCCACCAAAACCCAGGTATGTGTGGAAACGAACTGGCTAAAAAAAAAAAAAAAAAAAAATTAAAACAAGGGGGGCTCAAGACGTCCCCACAAAAGCCAGGAAAGAATTTGATTTAAAGTGAAGTACAGGAGTGAAGTCCCGCGGCCCCAGAGCGCTGCCTGCGGAGGGGGGAACCTTGCGGACCCCGGAGGAGACCCCTTCCCGGGCTGCGCGCTGGAAGGGGCCCCCGCGCGCCCCGCTGTCCCGGCGCTAGCGCCCCGCGAGGCCCTGTCTTCCCGCTCGCGGCCTCCGGGCCCGATGTAGAAACGGACGGATCTGACCACGATGACACACAACGGCCTTTGTTCTGGCCGCACGCGTCCGAGTTCGGCGGCGGCTGTGGGGAGAGGGGC